TACATCTAATAGTGTCAAAATCTATTTGTTTAGTCAAAGTAGATTCCGTACTTAACTTGTTTACCTAGTGTGTCATAGAGAGCAAGTCGCTCTCAGAGCCAATTTAACATTATAACATATGATCACAACATTGAGAAAATGCCTGTAGACAAACAAATATCAAATAGGTCTTATATACTCAGACTTATAAATTTCCAATTACTGAGTTCCTAATAGTAATGACTGTGTTTGTTATATGGAAGAATCCTTTTATTTTCCCCCATACGACGTCTTAATTTCACTTTGGCCAGGAACTAATTAGAACAGAGTAGTAATTTGTTTACGGCCGAATAAAAAGGTTTGTAGAACGATCTGTGTGTAAGCTCAACTCGGAAAATAACTTGGTATGTTCACGAAATAAGGTACCAAATAGTTGGTTTTTGAATTAAGAGATTTTTGTTATGTTTCAATATTATGCACTTTCGTACTTTACCATATGGTAATAATACCATATACGAAACCTCTTGTCTGCCGGCGCATATGAGACACAATAAAAACACATTGTGTCTCGCGTAGGTATATCTACTACCACTGGTTAACCGACTTCAAAAAAAAGGTTCTTAGTTTGACCTGTATGATATATGAATGTATGTATGTTTGTGCGCGATTATCTCGTGATTGGCTAAACGGATTTTGATGTGGTTTTCAGAAAAGTGTTTGTTACACTTTGGAAAAGGTTTTAGTTAGTTAATAAACCGACCTTAAAAAAAAGGATTAACGTCAGCTTTTTAAACGTAGTTCAGAAAAGAATTATTATTTATTGATTTTTAATAGAAGCCAGAAATAAGAATGTTAAGATAATTATCGTAATATTATTTTCTATTTTAGAATTTCCAAATTGAAGCAGACTTAGATAATGCTAAATGGTCGTGGTTGCGGCTATTGTACACACGGCTACACATCGAGCTTTACATAACCAGTATAAACTGAACGTTAAATGTGCGGAAAGATGATGCGACGCGACACCAGGATAAACTGGTTTTGTATAGATTGATGTGTGGCCATGTATACAAACAATGCATTTACGACAATATGTTAATCAGCTGTCAAGGTAAGTCAATGTTTAACAGTACTTGTACAGCTTCCCTGACTGAGAAAATACCTACTTAACTAATTTTATTGACATAGCTATTAAACCTTTTATAAGCTTTACCCACGTCTATAGGGATAGTGGGAATTATATTCCCGCTGCCTTAAAAGGAGTTTGTATTTTGATGTGAATAGTGGAGTTCAATTATTGATTACCTCTTTTTTCTGTTGTAACAAAAACGGACATGTTTCTGCTCAAAATGTGGAAAATGTTACTTTATACAACATAATAATTATAACGTTTTATTTCCAATACACAATAACTACTCGCTGGACAGTTGCACATTGCGACCAATGAATAATAAGACAGTAATACTACGCTAAATGATTATAATCTACCAAAAATATTACAAAATGGTAGCAATATCCTATCAGAGAAGCGTTATGATAATATAAATTGGTAATATTTTTGCGCTGTTCCGTCGTGGGGCGCGTAGAAGTATATTCAAATCTAATGTATTATGCCTATGTATCTCGCGGTATGAAATAAACTCGAATGCTTATCGTTGATGCATGGGTTTACGTAAATCATCGGATCTAGTACACAGCTGAACATATTACAGTAAATAGGTACTACACGAAACTGAATGCTTGCGATAAGAAATGATTGAGAAAACTGGTTCAGAGAAAATAAATAATCATTTTTAATAGACATTATTTGTAGATCAAGTTAGTAACCCCGTGAGATCGTCAATGGTATAGCTTTGAAGTCAAATTCCCTAACTTGATTGCAATTTAGTGATTGAGGAAGTGGTATTTATCACCTTCATCATATCAGTCACGAGACTGCAATTACTGAACGTTGACCTCTCACCCAATGACTTCAAAATTGGCCTTTAACTGACCTACTGTCTATTCTATTTTATGATCACATTTTTTCTTATTTAACCGACTTCATTTGATTTTACTAAACTAAAGTAGTCAATACAAAAACAAGTAAGTACCTATTTGAAAAAAATGCTTGTATCACTTAGACGTCTTGTTAGTAGATATAAATTGTTATGACAAGTACAGTAGGTCTCTTGAAAAAGATAGATTAATGTTCTTTGTTTGTAGACAAATCTTACAGTCTAGTACGTGGGAAACTTTCGTATGAAATCAATTCATTATACGAACTAAAGAATTGTTTTATCTTCAAAATTTCTTTATAGATCGATTACAACATAGAGGTACGTAATTGTACCAAATCTGCCCACCTCATTGTTCGAGTGGTTGTTAGCAGTTACAGTCTTGGTGGTTTTTGTCTGACGCTGACGGCATGCTGACCGTCGGCGCTGACAACCGAGATAAATTCACTTCTAGGAACTGTGAGCGCAGAAAGCTACGCGTTAATTTAAAACGGTTTCTAAAAACTCATAATTAAGGCTGGGTTTAGTGTCACGCTGACCGCACGCTGACCGTCAGCGCTGGCAGCCGAGATGTATTAACTTGGTGATCAGCGCTGACCACCGTGCGGGTTGATAGCTACACGTCATTCAAACACACTTCCTGCAAGTTCTTCTATCTCGTCCCATCAGCACAGAGGGTGCGCGTGCCTTCAGTGTGACACCAAAATCAGTCTATATCTCGGCCATCGGCACGGATGGTCAGCGTGCGGTCAGCACGACTCTCAAACTAGCCTAAATTCAATCAAGATTAGGGTACTCTATTTATATTTAGGTTATATTTAGTTATATTTAGGTTGCCCTATATATATTTACTTTTATACAATTAGATAAGATTTACGTTCTAGTCTGAGGAATTTTCTTGGCCCGAGGATTTATTTATTATCACTTATTTATACAAAAACTAATAACCACGACTTGAACAAGACTTTTACTGAAAATGTGCCCCATATCTCATGTAAACGATTGAAATACCTGTAGCGGATACAATGAATATTTCCTGCAACCGATAAAGATTAACTTTAAGTAAGAGCTGTATATTTTTCATTGAGATTGAACTCAACAGACTTTACATTGAAATCTGTAAATATTTATGTATGTAACCACATTTATGCTGATTGTTGTAGAAAACTGGCCATTTTTGTAGACATAATGGCAATAACTTATATTTTGTTATAGATAGATAGTCCTAACGACTATAATGTATAACAACAAAGCCTTAATAAAATAATTCATTAAAACTTTTTTCTCAAATTATTTGTCGGTCTATCTATTGGTGAAAGCTTTATGATTAAAGGGTTTAGTTATTTTTGAATTTATACTTATTGATTACACACACATACACGGCAAGAGAATTTGTTAAAACAAAAAATCTATCGCTAATAACTTTATAAAATAGACCATTATGCCTTAGTAACCATATCATAAGTAAGTAAATTATAATCCTTGAGATACAGTACCAAAAAAAGAAAGAAATATCTACCAATAAAAGTGGCTATGATTTTCAATATAATGTCAGCGTAAAAAACCAAGTTATTTTCACATACTGCCAAGCCAATGTAAACCAATAAATTGTATAATTCGGTAACCTACCCGAAAAAATATCAAGAGGAAAATATAAAAGCGATAATAAACAATGTTTAGGTACTTACGTAAGGCGAGTACGTCCAATTTACATATAAACTTACAGAAACAAAATAAGAGCAAACAAGGCGATAGGACCTGCCTAGTACTCTTTCTAGAACTTGTTTTGTTCTACGCTTAGGTATTTTTTCACAAAAGTTACATAACGAATCAGTTGGCATATTCTGAAAATCTTCACTATAGTAAATTAACATTATTGAACATGAAACCTTGAGAAAAAAAAAACATCTTAAAAAATCTTTGGAAATAGTTTAAAACTTTAACTGCCAGTAGAAGGGAAATCTTCCGCTAACATCAGTCGCCAGTGGCCCCATGGCGTTTAGAATTGGAAGTAGGCACATAATAATATACTCGATACGTAACATCGTTTTGTGACGTCATTAAAATGCACAAATATTTTCGACCGCTTCCCTATTATTCAGCGTTACTAAAGATTCGTTCTACTTATATACTATAGCTATTGTCAGCCCAACTGGTCGTGACAAGTCTATTTACACCACTATCGCTTTGCTGTAGATAGTCTTATCGATTGGGAAAGGTTCATAAGCATAACAACGTGACTAGCAAAACTTACTACGTGCTTCTAACTAAACAACTTTCAGTTTCAGTTTTTGGGTATTGTTTACCCGAAGAATCATTTACTTAATGGACCAGCAAAACCCTCTTCCTTCATTTTCGCAAGAAATTATGACGTCATGAGCTGGGCTGCCTTTAGAATCTCCGTATAAGCACATATACAAGGTTTGTGAATAGCCCTCTTGAGATTTTTTACGAGAATACTACTTCAATTTGTTTTGGAAATTGTACTGTGCCCTATGTCATAGATAAGATATGAAATGGGTATACAATGCCTGGGTTTTTGTACTCAACTTGACAACAAATATTTAAGATGAATAACAATAGGTTTCTATCGCAATCCTATTATGTAAGACCGAACGAGATTTAGTGCTTATTTTGTTGTATGTCAAGAGCTAATACCAATTACCTACGCACAGAACACAACACAACCAGTTTTCTGAAATTACGCATGTTCTTATCTGAATAGGATAAGTCGGTATAGATAAGAATTTATTAAATCAGAGTATCGCTTTATTCTAGTAAGTAGTATAATCCATATTAGCTTAAGTTATTTCTATTTTCGAGTAGAACAAAATGTGGGATGGTATTATTTGAAGACAAATCCGTAGGAGTAGCACTGATTGTAAATTTGTGGAAAATATTAATCATATTTATAGCAAAAATATTGTCACACAATGTAAAACCTGTTACCGTAACACCCTTTACAATCATAATTTGATGCTGTGTTTGAAACAAAAAATGTTAAAAAATAAATATTTAATTTACCTGAGAGGTGTGATAATCGCCCGATGCCTGTCCACGGCAATGGCAGTCAACGTAAACACACTGACGTTGACGCTCAGCGCTTGCACGAACGGACAGAATGGACACATGAAGTGTGGCAGCAGCCATCGCTGGAGCAACGCGGCTTGGAACTGTTAAACAAAAAACAGGATATGGTAAAACATATACGTACCAAATTGCTTTACTTTAAATACTCTAAGCAAATTGCCTTTAAACTGTCAAACACCAAGCGGTCACAAAACCGGTACTCGACGAGTTAAAAGTAAAGTAAAGCTATATTTTTAATTATCACTTTGTTTGAATACTAACTTTGTCCTTTATTACCAGAAAAAATTGGCTTATTATAGGTATGCATGGGTTAAAGGGGCAAATTATAGCTATATTGTACCACGACTATAACTGATTCCACATCGTCACTATCACAGAGAATTCTAAAACCTAAAACGCAATGTTTTTTTTTTCTCAACTCAGGAGATGAGCTACTAGGATATTGGATTCTGACTCAGCAGACACACTTGTATCTATAGCTATTCCAAAAAGCAGTCAAGTTGATATTCGAACGTATGTAGGTAAACTGAAATAGTAGCACTGGTAGAACATACATAATAAACAATGGCGTTGAGACGTGTAAACTCGTAGCTTAGAGAAATTTGACGTCGAGCTTAGAACGAGTAAATGGGGCCTATGATCGCATACTGGGTCACGAAGCGTGCACGTAAGACAAGGGGCTTAAGCCGACTCTAAATATCTATTCATATGCACAGTATTATTCATACAAAATGATAACAACATACCAAGGAAAGGTGACATTATGTTATAAATAGCCAGATCAAATATTTATAGTAAGTTTTTCAATTTCCTCGTTGATTAAGTCGCAAGAGCGATTAACGAACAAAAAGTTTTATGTTTTATTTTGAGGTCAAACCATAAGTAATCTATTTTTATATATTTTTTTTTAATTTTGGGAGTACGGAGGTTTTGCGATAGATTTGTCTACTATATCATAGAACTCAATTGGCGAAGAGTGCGTGATGCATTTTCCTATTTACAACCCTATCTATGTAACTGTACGCGGAATTAGCGATATACTTAGTAACAGCACGTCTAACAAGAAGTGCATCATTATTGATGTATGTGTACATAGAAATCTAAACTCTGTATACACTAGAATATAACTACTAGGTATAAAATAATATCTTCGGACAATTCTTTCTTAGAACTTGTGCTAGACTTGATCGCTTTCATACGAACAGTCTATTTAAATTTTACTTGAATAAAATGGATCATTTCACTTTCTAGACTTTTCAAATATGATAGCAATTATTAACAGCGTATTCTACCAGTGATAACTTATTAAATGGTAAGATTCTTTGAAGTTAGTTCACACAGTATGAAAGATACATAAAGTGAATTCATGTAGGTAGTTGTCATTTGGGAGTTTGAAACTTATGTTTGAATTTGAACTTGTTATTTTATATTTACAAGACTGACATATAAGATGTAGATCCAAAGTTCTATTACAAATAATTAAGAAAATGGGGGCATTTTGGACGATAGTCTTAGAAGTTTAACAACCACACCTATAGATACTTCTAAAAAAATACCGTGGTTTAAAAGAGGTAATTCTATTTATCATCGTTGTCTGAGACAGAAGAAAGTTCTCGTTTGAATTGCTACTTCACAGGCTATCAATTGACATGAAAACACGTGACGCACTTCTCAGTCGGTGTGACTGCGCCTTAATGGCATCTTATTCACTATTAAATCCTCCTTATGTCAAATACACTAGTCATCTTCATCACACTATTACAGTGGTCCGGCTGTTGTTAAGCACACTATTGCGCTTAAACAAACCTCAAATAACAATTATTGATTAATAATGCAAGTTTAGGATACTATAGCACCTAATATACCAGAGCATGACAAAGCATTTTCAATATGTTGATAAATGGAAATATAGTATTCTAAAAAGTTCTTTATTAGTAAATCTTAGGTTTCACATTGTAGAACATACTTTTTTTTAAAAAGAGTAACGAATGGAGTTTCTTGCTCGTTCTTCTCCATTCGAATCTACGTTTTGGAATGAGCACCTAGCTTCACCTAATTTCACTGACGGACTGACTGACAGACTATTATTTATTTTGTATTTGTTGACGTTTCAAAAGTACCAAACCATGGTTTAATTGAAATAAATGCTTTTGACTTTGACTTTGACTTTGACTTTACGTTTTCAGTTGGAAAATATCTTTTAAAGAATCTAATTTATTGGCCCTTATCATCATAAATTAGTATTATCGTAAGCTAGACTTAGAAATGGTATGAGCTAAATAAAATTTATATGTGAGAAATTAATTCAGGTTCGGCAAAATATGTAATGATTTATTTTTATATATAGGTAGGCCCACACAGGTAAGAATTTATATACTTAAGTATGTACACGATTTACCGATCAAGAGAATGTTGGAAGATATCGGAATAAACTATGAACCAAGAACATTTTAGGCTCACTTCTGAGAGCGTTCAAATGCTTTTACTAGAAAATCTCAGAAAGTATCTTAGCTCAGGTTTTCATAGCAACATGAACATGGAATATTCTTGTTGATAGATATTATCAGGAACTTAATCCTAAAACCGAAGCTATTCCTCGTAATATTAACGATGTATGTTGTTTGTGCCACAAATATTGAACGGGTTTGTAAGGATCATAATTGATTACCGAGTTGGCTGGCATTGGCACGCTGTAGAATACTAAAAGCCATTAACCAACTGAAGAATTTTGGGCTTAAGGCCAAGCAAAGAGATTGGATTGTTTGCAATTTTTACATATTTATGCATACACCATAGATGGCATACACATAGTATCTTGTTTTTATTCTCCTTAAGAATTGTATTTATTAAAACTTTACTTGCTGTGTTGCGTGTCATAGAGGGCAATACTGTTGCAAGATTCCAGTATGATATCAAGTTCCTATGCTCGATTCGAAATCGAATCTTAGTATCCACACTAGCAAAAGATCAAAACAAGGCAATTTTTGCTTTTGTTTAAAACAAAGAAAGATCATGTCTTCTAGTTAATGGATCTAACATAGATATTGGAGCGAACGTTAGAAAATGGAGTTTATCAGGTGATTGCATTCATGTCCACTGCTAACGAGGTTTTTAGAACTGCTCCGGTTTTTATTAACTTTTATCAGCTGTATTTTAGTTTTTATTTGGATCCGTGTTATCCGTGTTATCCGTAGAATATTAATGCATATGGCTGTCTTCTGTGAATATGTTTGTATTGAGTGTCATCTGAGTAGTCTAAATACACGTGTTTCCATACAGAATTCAAGTACTTATGTATACAGTACTTAGTATAATAGCAGTACAAACAGTACTGATTAATTTTAATGTACTACTAATCCCTTGATTAATTACATCTTGACATGATTCCGCTACATAATAGATGTTCAACGTCATTAAATAATCTTACAATTACACTTTATATGTCATAGTGACGAGTCACTTGCGTACCTACATGTTTATAATAAAAAACTCTTACAATTGGGTACATTTTATTCACAATTTCAATAATAATGTATCAGACGATCGACAAACAAAAGGATCGGCTTTGATATTTTGTTTCATCATTATTTGTTTGTTTTGCTTTAACGTAATTCGCACTATTATGACTATAAACTATACGGTAAAACTAATTTACAACAGTCAGAAAAAACTTACAAGTGACTAGTATCAACTCGTTTATAAAAAGTGTCTCTAACATCCTCCTGTTTTGAGGTCAATTTATATGGGTACCCAAGTATAACAAACACAGAGTCAACAAACCTGCTGTAAAGTATAACAAAGCCTTTTTGAAAACCACATCAAAATCGGTTTGACCAATCGTGGACAAACTTACATTCGTACATTTATTCACCTGTAGAAAAACTGTAAGTACAAATACATGCACGATGACAGCGCTACGTCTGTGCTACGCACCTTTCAGTTGTAGCAGATTACCGTAGCACATATCAGCTTCTTAACTACGACACATTCCTAGTTTTATACAGTAATTTCACTAAAAACCACTTTAGCCCCATACGCAATTCCTAAAATTAGTATTCTACGTGATGGCGTAGGTTGTTCTACAGTAATAATATCAATTATCTAAATTTACCTAAGTATGACCTTTTAAACAAATTGGTCTTTGAACTAACTATTGGTCTTGTGGACACGAAGGCAACCTTCCATGAGAGTTAAGTTTGTATGGCGGTAGTCTCAGGTTTAGTGATGAAACTACGTATAATTATTTCTGGCGTTTAAAAACAGTTTTATAAATCTAATTACTAACTATTAACTGAGAAAAGGCTTGCCAGGCACTATACATCTTTTTGTATTTCAACCAAAAATATTTGATTTTATATAAAACAATTTCACTTCATATTTTTATCTATGTAATCCATGGTATCCCTTGAGAATACTATATGTTAGCGGTGGCACGTAAAATACATCGGTTTAATGTACTGTGAAATGGTTCGGAATAACGTGGGAAGAAGTGCGCCTGGATTTGAGGTGAGGCGCATTTTATCACAAATGGAGCCACGGTATTACGAAGACAGATGTTTAAACATGGCATCCGCGATGATATAGGTCATAAGCGCACGCATAGGACCACGAGTCTAAAGGTAATAAGTATTCAATATTTCAGTTTTCATATTCTTACTTGGTTCTATCACATTGAATTTAATGTTTTAGCAATGACAAAGCACTATTTCTGGAAATTGTTGGTTGCCAAAATAACAGTCTGGTTGATGTCAGTCTACCTGACTTACCTATCCCTTCGGGTATGTTCCTAGAACATTTTACTTTATAGAATTTTAATTATTGTGTTAAAACATTGTTTTACTGTTAGTCAATTAATTAAACATGTGGGTTGATACAACATCAATGAGAGGTATTAACACATGAATTGCGCAAGTAATAGATTTTAATTTGGTTGCTATTATCAAAATATCTGACATTTAATTTTTGTCAGCTACAGTAAATAACAAAAAAGAACATTGTCTGCCATTAATTTATTTATATTACATACAAACAAAACGTGTATACTGCATATTATTATAGCATAAAATGAACATTCTTCTGCATT